AATATACATTAGGACAGCAAAGGTAACCCATGCAAACACTCTATATTTTCAAATATACACTAGGACAGCAAAGGTAACCCATGCAAACACTCTATATTTTCAAATATACATTAGGACAGTAGGACACCAAAGTTAACCTATACCATTCATTAACAATTTAAGTTTAGCAAATAAAAGGTGAATTATACGACATAAAACTAAAATGATTTAAATTTATTAAATGTGCTTGCTAATATTATAAAATTGAAGAATGCTGTTCAATTAGATAGAAAATGGAACAATATATGACTAAATGAAAAACCATATGCATAATATATAGTGTAATAATGAGCTGCATTTTTCATTAACAACATTAGGCAAAACATAATAGCTTCTTTTCATTTATTTAGTGTCCTACTATCCTACTGTCCTATATACTGTCCTACTCTCCTGGTGGGGAAGTTCTGAGGAGGGCATATTGCATAATTTCAGCATCRTGACTTTCCATCCCTACATCCAGTTCTTAGAAGGGCTGTGTCAAAGGCACTTCGTAGCTTTTTTTAAGAGGATATACTGACCTATTTCAGAAATGGCTGTCAGACCAAAAGCCTTAAGCAACAAGCCAAGACCGCAGAGAACRCCAGTACTTTAAGCTGTAATTATTTTATTTATAGTACAAATTGCTCCAAGCAAGGCTGCTTGAGATAATAATTAGTGGARAGCTATAGTCACTTGCATGAACCATGAATAAATCAATTATAATTAAAAGTACGAACGTTCTCTGGAGCCTTGGCTTGTTAGTTGAGGCTCTAGGTGTGACAACGATGTTCAAAATAGGTGTATATATATTGCATCCTAAGTACTGTAACTCATTGATTGTTTTCACCAGGCCAATAATACTATTAGCTGTTAAAACTTAACGCATCACAGTGGCCCCATCAAGGGCTGGTATTATGGGATGTTCGGCTGGAAAGCCATTGTCAACCAGCCCYGAAATCAGCACAAGCACTCAGCATAGTACTCTGGCATCAGTGACAGGCAAGAATGAACATGTCTTGTCTAACAATGGGCTGGTTGGTAAGTTAATAGACCCGGCTGGCATTGATTTCCAAGAGGAATAGACCTTTCCCTAATGTGCTTGGATGACCACGAAACAATGGTTTGAAGTCAAGACTGAAACTTTATTCTTTTATTTATCAAGTTCAACCTCGATTTTATATTATTGTTTCATGATCAGTCAAGCGAATTAGGAAAGGTCTATTGTTCTGGTGCTGGACAAAAAGATAGGCCGTTTTTCCTTATTTAAAAAAATCCATTGTTTTGTCCCCCAGAACAATATTCCTCTTGGGACTCAGTGTAAGGGGTAAATAATTAGGTCTTCCCTGTTCCATGAGGGTATGTACAACATACATGCTTCCCTTGATAGGATGAATGAGGAAATAGTGAAACAGGTGGATGAATGGGAAGATAGGAATCTAAATAGATTGATGAGATGGTGTCTATATGGATGAATGGATGGGAGGAAATGGGAGGTCAGTTACATTGATAAATGAGAGGGATGATTGGATGGATGAGGTAGTGGGCAGCAGATGGATGAGATCAGTATGACAGGAGGTTGAATGGTGGGGTAGATTGAAGGGAAGTGTGGGATGGATGGGGTACATGGAGGAATAGAATGATAGATGGATATTGGGATGAGATAGGATGGATGAGATGGGATGGATGAGATGGGACGGGTGAGATAGGATGAATGAGATGGGATGAATGAGATGGGATGGATGAGATAGGATGGATGACATAGGATGGATGACATAGGATGAATGAGATGGGATGGATGAGATGGGATGAATGAGATGGGATGGATGAGATAGGATGGATGACATAGGATGGATGAGATAGGATGAATGAGATGGGATGGATGAGATGGGAYGRRTGAGATRGGATGRATGASATRGGATGGATGACATAGGATGGATGASATRGGATGGATGAGATGGGACGGGTGAGATAGGATGAATGAGATGGGATGGATGAGATGGCCAATGATATGCCAATGATAAAATTTTAATTCACAAAGTTTCTAAGCTCAGGGACCTGGATTTTTCTGTCTGTGTTCCCTTCAAACCTCCTGGAATTCCATTACCTGTCTGTTATGTAGTAAAGTACGATAAAATCATCAACAATTATTTTCCAGATATCAAGCGATCATCCAACAATAGTACAATCACTAATTCAAGTTCCATAAGAAATGGTGGAATAAGGAAAGATTCTTCCAGTAGCGTCAAGTCATTTAAGGTGATTGAACCTACMGAAGCTCCAAAAATAGCCAATCAAACCACTCAATCAAAGACAAGATTAGCACAAGACCAAGTCAAGGCTAAAAGAGAAAAGGTAATATCAATGAAATATTTCTTTAAAAAAACATATGCTGTAATAAATGAGCAATATTTTGGCTGTTTATCTGAAAATAGATTATGAGCAATAGGTCTTTAAATATTTAAATTTCATGCTGAAATATCATCTTAGCTGAGTTGACTTAAGCTTGTTAAGTTTTGCAGAGAGAGGAAAGTCACAGAACACCTGGAGAAAAACCATTGTGCTTATTCATCATATCTTTTCTTTGATAGGAAAATGGAGGTGCACCAAAGAAGGATGCCAACATCAAAATTAACAGGTTTGGTCAAGAGATAAAATTGATATGGCCCTACCGAATATATATATGCATAATCATATTGTAGTTTCATTGATAATTGCGATTGATAGATGTCAAACAGAATATTACATGGCCGACGGTTTGGAGATACAGATTTTATCTTCTAGCGTTGAGAATATCTTACTTGTTTGCTGCACACAATCATGAAAACATAAAATCTGTATCTCCAAGCAGCCATATAATATCTTCTATATTTTCTACCCCATACTTGGTAAAATGCTAAAACACCTCCTCCGCTCATGTGCACTCAGTGGTAAATTTTTCCCATTTCAGACCATGTGTCATTCTYGAGAGTATCATTTCTTTGTTTAATGGTTGCGCCCGGTKGCACATGAGAAGACACATGAATATGGATGCAACTCAGACAAAGGAACTTATTCTCAAGGGAATGACACATGGCCTAAAATGCAAAAACATTACACCCAAAGCCGAGAAGCTCTATTGATGTACCCCTCCCATTCCTTTTTTCCTATTCCCTCTTCTTGATTCTTTCGTGGTTTCCTATCTTTCTATCCTCTTTTTTCCCATATTTTCTTTATTAAATTCCACATTAGTTATTTTCTTTCTGATTTATGTGCAGTAAGTATAATTATTAATTWATTTTTTTTACAGAAGTAATTCCACAGACGATCCGCCAGTTAAGAGTGTTCCACTCGGACAAGTCAAAGTGTAAGTCAAAAAAAAAAATGTCCATCATTTTAACTCTGCAATAGCAAACCAGCCAACATAACTGCAGTTTTCCAAGTGTTTTAAACCTCTTTAGTTTGACATAATATTTTCCCATTGCAGTCATTCACTGGAGAGTAAGATTCTTTGTTTGAATGGTATCCATATTCATGTGTCTTCTCATGCACAACCGTTAAACAAAGAAAAGATACTCGAGAGAATGACACGTTGAAAATGGAAAAATAAATATATTAAACTAAAAAGATCTAAGCAAGTAAAAATGTTTGTAAATGTTTTCACGGTTACTAAAACGATTGGAATATTCTTTCTTTTCTTTTTAAAAGAATAACAAAAATTTAAACAAATTCTACTTCGTGTTTTTTCATATTCAGAGATTTTTGTTGCAAAATTTTCGAACTTAGCAACAGTARCTAAGGTTCCAATCGGAACCGATTTCTGAGAAGCGCCATGATGTTTGTCAATCAAAGAAACGATCTTTTTGCAAGATATCGAAAAGACTTTCCCTAATTACATGTCAACATTGACATTACATTGTTTGAGCCTGACTAAAAACTAAAAGAAAACTAAAAGAAATAACTTTTTGTCTCTATATTAGATTGGTTTCGAGGTATCTTTGTAATTCTCAAAGTGATTTAACTCAGTAAATTAATTAAGTTGTGCTACACTAATATAAGTCTTCAAGGAAAAAACTTTGACTGATTGTTGTAACAGGAAAAAYAGTTTTTCATAAATAATCAGGTGGTTTAACAACGAAAAAAAAGGTTTTCATTTCGAATTGTAAGAGTTATGAGGGCTAAAAATTATCCAAAAAATAATAATTTTTGAACAYTGGTTTTGCATGTCTTACTTGCACAAGCTCTTTATTTTTCTTTTCTTTTTCTTTATTTTTGAATTCTTTAATGGCTTAAACACCATTTGGTTTCTTAAAACCAAACGAATGGCGTTCACGTCATGATAAGAAGAGTGCGAAACATTAAGGCAATTAAGTACTTGAGTTGGCTTTTGTTGCAGCGCAGTTGTGGTCAAAAACAAACGTCAAAAGTGATAACGATAAATTGGATGGTGAATACGATAAAATGGCGTACGTGATGTTACTTTCCTGTGGGATATCTCACTCGCTAACTAACCCTTTTTGTAAATTTTCTTTGTGCGCATTTTTTTGTGATAAATTAATTTTCTGTCCGATTGTTTTTACAGGCAGCTGACGCAATCCCAAGCAGATTTTTTTACAATGTTAGATAAGAAAATAGAAGAGGTAATGATGTATTTCTATAATATTTCCCCTGCTGTCCTTTCTTTCATCTTTCTGTTCCCACCTTCGCCTTCTTTTTAAAAAAAATTTGTTGGGCGTAATATTTTCTCATTTCAGACCACGTGTCACTCCCTTAAGAATAGGATTCTTTCTTTGAATTGTATTCATATTCATGTGTCTTCTCATGCACAACCRTTAAACAAAGAAATAGTACTCTAGGAAATAACACGTTATTTGAAATGGGAAAAACATTACGCTCAAGGTGAAGAGGTCTATTCTCACTTGAAAGCGAGGGTTTAGAGGAAGAATTTTCGTGTGTGTTACAGCTATATTGTTGTTACACGGTGCGGCTATTCCTCATCAACATCCGTTGCGCGCGCGCCGCATTCTTTACAGAAATAGAACTTCTTTAGCGTTACACGTTACTAGTTTCATTGTGTGACCATGACTGTATCTTTGCTGGCCATCACGTTAGGTTTCATAGCCTATGATTTCATCATTTTGGTATACCGGCATTCCTAGCTTGTATTGACCTATTTTAGGCCGAAAAAAATGATTGAGGARTAATAATGGTTTGGCAATTCAAATGGGACTGCGCGAGTGCTGTAACGTAAGCTGTCTTGGAGTAACGTAATGCAATTTTCCTGTGATCCCGAACTCAGAATAAAGCCTGATCTATATATTCTGAAATAAATGTACTCCAGGATCTTATTCTTCATTCATCTCCTCATTTATGWTATTTGATGATATATGACTGGCAAATGTGACTTCCATACGGAAAAAAATCAGGCAATAGTTTGTGCTACGCTACCCTGCGATCAGAGTCTATTGCTATGCGTGACATCCCTGACTTAAATCTGTTGTGCGCAACGTCGCGCCGAGTGCGTAGGCCTTCAAATGCTCTTGGCTTTACAATATATCACATAAACGCGTCTAAAACTGGATTGGAGAATAAATGGAGTAGATCATTTATTGGAGTTCATCGTTTATCTCATTTTTGATTTACAAGATTCGCTTAGCAAGATTTCTTCGTCGTTTTACTTTTCAGGGTGAAGACTATAAATCAGATTGTGAAAGATGAAACATTGATCGTTAGATCAACCTTGATTAGCCGTGATCATTCAGTGATGGGGAGACCTCTGCTTACTGGCGGGAAGAGGCACTTTGAAGGTGAAGACTTCGCTTCCTTGTTAACACAGGGGGGAGACTTATCAGTGAAGTCTTTCGCAGCGAGGCGCCATGAAATGATTCCGTTGTCATGGTCACGGAGATTCGAAATGATGCAGACGCCTTCAGGCGTCACAACGTAGTGAAGTTGACTCATTGCACAGCTATCCTAATTTAAGGAGGCACGATGGGGTAATCAACCGTTGCCATAGTAACATGGAATTCTTGGCGCAGCGACTACTGAAAAGTGGCAAGGTGCAGTTAAACCAACTGTTGCCTTAGCAACACAAAGGCTTTTTAAACAGGGATTTTACAGTTAAGGGTCAAGATGGAAATAAAGTTGCTCGACGAATATACTGTCCCTGTTGCCTTGGCAACTGTAAGGAAACCCATTCTTAGCTGAAGTTACGATCTAAGCAAAAAGGCTGAAGATAGAGAGTGGTGAGGACATCTTTTGTGATTTTGTTTGGGATGTTAATAGCTTGGATTCAACACAAATTATTTAACAATCAAGAGACGCCATATGGTCTTGATCTACTGTAACTAAACCGTCACATTCAGTCGTTATCAGTGGTGTTTTCGCGTGTTAGAAATTAGACTGTAAACTCCGTGGAAGATTGCGGCATGATTTCAAAATGCAGACAAGCAAAACTAAGGGGAAAAAACGCGAACAAACCTACTAAATAAGTCAATATTTGCCAGAAATTTTGCATAAAAACAAAGATTCGACTGATACCCAAATAGTACAGAGCTGGTATCGAGTGAGTAAACGGCTCCCGGCTGAACTCAGTAAAAGTCCATGAAAATTTACTGGTTCTCGTGCCTTAAATCTTACATATCAAGTACAATTACGGCTCCAAAGGCAATCGCAAAGCAGTTTCTGCAGATGTTTTAGAGCGCACTAGTWGAGTTACTTCACGACTTGGTGATGGAGGAAAACGTTCACGGAACGAAAAAAAAGCAAATTATTCATAGTTCTAACGAAATACTTCTGTAAGCTATTTGCCATATTATAATCACAACGAAATAACCAGTGGAACGTACTGTATTTAATCGAKTTTTTCGCTAAAGGAGTTGAGGAAGAGGACTATTCCAAGATCAAAGGTTACTAGTAAGTTTTATTGTATGCAGGCTTGACCCCGTTTTGTACTCACACTCTTCTCACCAAAAAATCGACTTTACGTTAGAAAGCTGAGAAGGCTTTGATTACGAGAATGGGCTTGACCCAAGCTAGCATCCTTGAAAGTTTCACCTTATTTTCTTCCCTTACAAATAGCGAAAAAAGTCCCAAAACTTGAGACAACATTAAACCGGCTTCGTTAAACAGAGTCCTAAGACCTTAAAGGGACTTCAGTCAAGCTAAATGTACTATAATTTCTTTCGTATAAACAACTGAACAAAGGAAAAGATTGCGCTAAAGACGGTAGAATTCCTGCCAAAAAAATATTATTTCGTTTGTAAATGCGAGGTTTTGCAGTAACTAAACAACACAGAAATCGAAGTTCATAATTAAATCTTTACAATTTTGTTATATAATAAATAATATATAAATATATAGATATATTAATAATATCCTTACACATTTTAACACTGAATATATATTTACCAAAAAATAAAGGTTTCTAAAATTTAAGTTATAATGACTGCAATCTTTTTTTGACTTTAAATTAAATTTCAAAATACTATAAATTATATGAAGGATTTCTGGGCAGACATCATCAGATTAACTGTTCACTCCCCAAGAGGCACTCAAATAATCCTCCAAGGTATTTGTTTGTCCCTGCTCTAATGAACTATCAGCCATTAAATGTTTTCCAAATTCAGAAACTCGGGAGGGATCCGAATGGGAATCGTCCCTCCCCCCTCCTCCCTCCCCCTCTCCCCCACCCTTTGCAGTCCTCTCACGCTTAGCGCGCACAGATACTAGGGACGAGGGGAAGCCCCCTTTTTTGATATAAATTTAAATTTCAGTGAAAGCGGGCCTTTATTTGGAACTCTTCTCAAGACCATAATTGAAGGGTTTTAATCTTTCAATTAACATAAGCACTAAAAAAAAAAAAAAAGATTAATCGAACTCTCTGAGTCGAGTCTAAGGAATTTGAAAAACTTCAAAGTATGGCGGAAGGAACACAGTTATATAAACCATTAGAGTGCTGGAGCTGCTCTTTATTGAAGGTATGTTTTTAAAAGCACTTCAATGGCTTTTTAAGTGGCTTTTTTCCTATTGTAAATTATAACGTTATATATATTCA